ATAAGATAAGGCTAGGGACTAATGAAAGTTTTTAGAAAATTGGGCAGACTAGATGGGCCGAATGGTTCTTATCTGCCGTCACATTCTATGTTTCTATGTTTTCTATGTTTAAGGAAAGGCAAAGAAAATGAGTTTATAAAAATAGAGCTGCTGGAGTAGAATGTTGGGTTAATGGAATACATCTGGGGATAAAAACATAGGGTTAAATTGGAGTATTAATGACTTTCTCTGGTTTGCCTTATTGAAATGTGCAGGTTTTAGAACATCAGCACAATCAGAGGCAGAAAGAACCAGCACTACTGCATCATGTGAACAAATTAATGGAATTCGGGGATAATTCATTGTATTATGGTATATGTTCTACATAAGCAGCATTTTATACTTGGAAACATGTTCCTTAACATTTATTTCCTGGCTAATCCATGTCCGCATCACCCATGGGTTACGCTGCTCCCTCTCAGCTGATAGGACAGGAATCTAAAAGTAAAATGAGGTTATAGAAAGAAGCTACCTCCTTAGATCCGGTAGTCTCATAACCAAGTCAGTCCAGAACAACAGAGGGGTGAGTCGTTGATGCTGACATGGATATCAGCCAGGAAAAGAAAATGACGGTAAGAATGGTAACAATTTTCCGATTTACTGCCTCTTTAAGTTACCTCTCTCTCTCTCTCTCTCTCTCTCTCTGTATAAAGTGACGCTATCATCAGGTAACTGAAATCTACAAAAAATTAAAGTAAATTGATACCAGAAACATGATTCTCATACATGGTCAAAAATGGCAATTATGTCAATATGCACTCTATGTGAGTTAGCACAGAATGGAATGTTTGGATTCTTTGCCAGAAAGAAATTCACTCAGTGAGTACACATTCAGTGAAATGATATGGGATGAGTCCATATCAGAGAATTCCAGAAGATAGTCAGAGGTAGTGGATTCCCAGAGGTTCTCCCACTAGACTACCAATGTCTAAACATACCAAAAAAAGAAGTCCTGTCTGACTTTCACCAGTTATGTGGGGTTAAGGTTACATATTTCCATATGTGGTGGTAATATGGGAGTCTAGCAGTCACCATAGGCGTGCGCAGCCTATTGCATTAGGGTGTGCACCCTAAAGCACAAACACACGCCGCGCGTGTGTGTGTGTATATGTATATATATACACACACACACACTCTCACAGACACACACACACTCACAGACACAGACACACACACACACTCTCACAGACACACACACACTCACAGACACACACACACACACACTCACAGACAGACACACACACACTCACAGACACTCATACACTCACAGACACACACACACTCACACATACTCACACACTCACAGACACACACACACTGACACATACTCACACACTCAGACACACTGACACATACTCACACACTCACACTGACACATACTCACACACTCACAGAAACACACACTGACACATACTCACACACTCACACTGACACATACTCACACACTCACAGAAACACACACTGACACATACTCACACACTCACAGAAACACACACTGACACATACTCACACACTCACACTGACACATACTCACACACTCACAGACACACACACACACACACACACTGACAAATACTCACACACTCACAGAAACACACACTGACACATACTCACACACTCACACACTCACACTGACACATACTCACACACTCACAGACACACACTCACACACTCACACTGATACATACTCACACACTCACAGACACACTGACACACACACAAATTATTATATTTTAATTTTTTTTTAAAAATGTCCACCCAGCCTCCTACCTGGAGTGCTGGTGGACTTTTCCCTGGGGTCCAGTGGGGCGGGCGCCTTTCTGCAGTTCAGCGCGCGGCGAGGGAGCTCTCTGCTGTCTGCTCCCTCTCGCCGCGCGGGCTGTCTGCTGCAGCTGGGAGCCGGAATATGACGTCATATCCCGGCTCCCGGCATCAGCGCGCGGCGAGAGGGAGCAGACAGCAGAGAGCTCCCTCGCCGTGGCTGAACTGCAGGGTGGGTGGAATCATCACCTCTTGCCCTCCCATGACAGGGGCAAGAGGTGAAACAGGGGGCACTGAGTGCCTGCAGGAACGCTGTTCCTGCAGGACTCAAACCATAGGCGTGCCACGGGGATTAGGGTGTGCCCAGGCACACCCGGCACACCCCGTGCGCACGCCTATGGCAGTCACCCATAGTTTTTCAGTATATTTATATTCAATTTTAACTAATTAATGTGACGGCTAGCTAGCAAGTGCTGGGCAGTTGCCACATAATTAACCCTTGCGCTGCCAAGAGTTTTTAACTATTTGTCCTCTGCCGGCTTCTAGCGTTACCAGCAGGCAAATTGTTTGGAGCATTTAAAAGAAAAAAAGATCTGGATCTGGATTTGAAGCATTCGGTCTGGGTTTAAGCTGTCTGGCGGTGGTCTATCAGTCCAGCTGAAGTGTGGACACCAGCCCTCCATGTGTCTCATTCCCCCAACCCTCTCTCCTATGTTTCTCATTCCACAGCCCCCTCCCCCATGTGTCTCATTCCACCATCCCTCCATTTGTCTCATTCCACCAGCCCCCATGTGTCTCATTCCACCAGCCCCCATATGTCTCAATCCCCCTGTCCCCCATGTATCCCATTCCTCCAGCCCCCGCTTATGTCTTATCCCCCCTCAAATTTGCCAGCTCACCTCCCTGCTCGTAGCGTGGCTGAGCGCTGACTCTCTCCTCTGTCTGACAGGAAGCAGTTTGGCACTCTAAGTGAGTGCTTCCTTTCATATCAGGGAGAGGGGGAGAAAGCTTCTCTCCCGCGCTTGACCACACTACATAGAGAGACCGGCAGGACAGGGACACAGTGCTGTGCTCTCCTCCTGCTGGTCACCTGAATCCTGCACCCCCCGGGCAACTGTGCCCTAAGTCTGCCTGTGCCATCTTATGCTAGCGGCTGCCCTGTCTGGACCCAATTCAGGCGCGTTCAGGAATAAGAGATACTGTTAAATCGTGTAAACAATTTCTGGATTTTGCAGTCTAAATGGCCCCATTTGGTATGGGCCACTTGGACTTTAGTGAATAATCCTGTGCGTTATCAGAGTTAGGGGCCAAAGGCGGCACAAAGCCCTGGTCACTTGGGAACTTGTGACGTAGTTGTGACTGCACTCCTGTAACTGTTTGGTGTCATTGAGAGGTGAAAATGTAAAAGTAGAAATCTATTCCTAAGTATTTTTTGGATGAATAAGGTTGGCAGACCAAATCAGGAACATTTGAGGTGGAAATAAATGATGCGTCTTGTAATTGGATGCATACCACTACAAAGTCAGACGTATGTTCAAATTAAAGCTTGTTGCATTGACCTAAATACGTCCGGGAAATTATTCGAATTTTTGACATTCGTCAAGGAAGAGACGTCCTTGTGTAAGACGTGTGTAAGATGTTTAGCGATTGTTTAAATTTTAGGAATCCTGAACAGCTTCCAATTCACAGAGTAGACCATCTGGTTGCAGTAAAGACGCTGATTAAATATGAGTGAAAATAAAACACGGCTGGAATGTTATTAGTAAACTATAATATAACCATGATCCATGGATAGTGACAGAGCCTATATGTAGTTATTTTCACTTTTGGCAATAAGTCCAATGACTAAGTCTATTTTCTCTTTATAAATGATCAACACAACGCCCTCAGACCTCTGATGTATTTAGGTTCTTATCTCTCATATATAAAAAACACAAATATAGTAAAACAATGGGACTAAGTGTGGTAGCACTAAATGCGACAAACCACCTGAGTGGAAACCCCTTACACCACTCAAAGAAATACAAGCAAATACATACAATATGGTAGGTAGGTCACACTTCTGGATATATCTGTAAATAATATATACAAGAAACAATATAGTGTAATATTGTCTGTACTAATATATAATTTGGACTTGGAGTCAGGTACTCACAAACCTAGAGCCAAATATCAACATATGGCTCTCATGGATGTCGCCTTGGGACTATTACTGAGGATGTCCCCTTCCTATTCCCAGATGACCTTATGGTTATTCCGGCTGAGTGTAAATATAAACTCTGTGAATCCAGTGGTATCCTTAAAAAATATACTTTTATTGCTCCACAATATGGATTAAAAAACCAAGTTTAAAACTTTCTGCATAAAAGAAAATAATAAAAGAATATTTATAGCTTGTATGCTATAGATATTAGTCCTGTCAATTGGCAAAAATGTCCAAATTTGGTATATCCGAAATGCGTTTCGCCCCCCCAGGGGCTTTTTCAATCGGTATGTAAAAGTCCTCTTGCAGTCCAGCAGCTTTTTAACTTCCTTGTTGGTTTCACTTCCGGGTTCCGGCTATCGCACGTTTGGAACGCAACATGCATTCCAAATCCGACGGCATGCGTTCCACTTCCATGTGATGTTGCCTACGTCGGCTGACGTCACTGGAACGCACAGCGGACGGGTCGTGTGTTCCCCTGCGGAATTTCTGCATTATATTATACGAATTAATATTCATTTCGTTCAAAACATTATAAAAGCATATTACTTAGTACTAATAAAAATATAAACGTTAGGTGGTGATTTTAAATCGATTCAATCAATGATTTTCATAATTTCTTTCCCATATAGACTTTCTTACATCCTTTTGTTTTACTGGAAGAATGTATAATTTTTCCTTTTTGATATATCTCATTAAATATTTATTTTTCAGTGTTAATTTTTCTTTCGAGATCTTATAAAATCACCAAACTGACGTTTGTTTAAAGGGATAGTGTTCCCAATACCACAGTGTGCAAAAAGTACTATTGACTTTGTTATAAAAAGACTCCAATTCCAAATTATATATTAGTACAGACAATATTACACTATATTGTTTCTTGTATATATTTTTTACAGATATATTCAGAAGTGTGACCTACCTACCATATTGTATGTATTTAGGTTCTTATCTCTCTTAGCCTAATTAAAGAAGTATATTATCATGTGCCAAATTCAGATTCATGCAATACCCTTATGGCACATTGCCCATTAAGCCAAAATGTGCATTGTCCTGTTTCCCTCTTACCCCACACTCTTCATCTTTGACTTCAATCCTTTCCTAGAGGCTATCAACCCACATGGTTTGTGTTTATGGACTGCTGGTGGCCATTACTAATCGACTACTAATTAAACTGATCCCTAAGCTGATAGCAGTTGAATTTTAAAAAAAACTACTTTGCCATTTATGCTCCTTCGGCAAGCATTAATTCGGCAACAAAGTACATCTTGGTTAAAACATTACATACGGTACTTGTTTTTCAAATTTTCGGAAGAGATACAGAAAAATATAAATACAACGCAAATTACATAGAACACTATAAGGGACAGAGCTGTTTGTGACAAGGTAGAAAGAACCAGGAGGTTGTTTTGAGTCCTCAACCGTAATTATACCATTTGCCGTTTGAAATTGCCCTACGGGATACTGGGGAGATAAAAAGAAAAATACAAGAAACTAAATATTTATACTCCTTTTAAATAGTACACAACCCCGCAGCCTATCACTTGTGGCTTTTTGTATACAACAGCAGGACACCAGAAAAATAACTCGGGACTCGGTGACATGTGTTTGTCCATCAATGCCCACCAAATGAGGGACAGAGTGGAAGAAGCAAATATTATCCTTTCTGAAATTATGTATGAGAGATTCTCTTTAAATAATGAAGATTCCAAACGTTTTTTCGAAAAGCAAAATTATAATGAATATGTTATTATCAAAAATAGAATACGCAAGCATATTATATGTTTTTTCCATCCTTATGTGGATTTCAAATTCATACAAACTAGTCCCTCAATGATCCCTTGTGTCGCAGTACACTAATGTGTTCTTGGCTATAAATCAAAATAGTTTTCAAGTGCATAGTGACACTGGATATATTTGGCATTTTACTAATAACAGATAAAAATAACTATTTGTTTTTCAATGTTCTCTATTTTAGCCACATCTGTTAATTCATGTCTCTTCTTAAAATAAGGAAAACCTAAGGAAAAATTCAGCATTTAGATAATACTGAATAAGTTTTGATAGGCAGGTCAAAAAACAAATCTGGTGCCTCTCTTTTCCAGTGAATAGAAATGTGGTTTAAAAAAAAAAAAAAGGGGGGGTTAGGTGTAGTGCTATGAATGTAACTTTTCTGGAGCCATGAGGTAGCTCCAACTTATGCTCCTGAGCGATATGATCTCCGCCTATGGACAAAGTGTAGCTCTTGTATGGCAAATGGTTAGAGGTGTGGTAGAAGGTCTCATAGGACATAGGGGAAGAACATAACTAAAATAATATGGTATATTAAGATATTTCTGAAATTAAATAAGTAGATAAATACTCACTTTTTCTGGAGCCTAGCACTGGCTCCTAAAGTATAGTGTGGAGTGATATGATCCTCACTGGGATATGTGGCTGTGGCTGTGGCTGGTGCAGGTGCAGGAGCTGAACCAATTAAGTAGACGTTGCGGCTCCACCAAAATGGCGTCTGAGCCAGTTCCAAGTCTTATGATTCCAAAGAGGGACGAGTTCTATGTTGAATATGTAATAGGATAGTATAGAGGGGGAGAAAGAGAGTAGAAAAAAAAGGTTCTGATTGCAGAGAACTTTATCTCTAAAAATCAAATTGTATATGGATGATGAATTGACAGCAGATATAAGTAAAACATATATATGGAAACAATGCGAATACATAAATACAATGATAAAAAAATAATACAATGTAATACACTTTTAGAACATAATAGGATTTACATACTAAAAAGGATGACTGTAAAGAGATATGTTTAGGAACATGCGGAGATATAAAAATACTTAAATCCAATAGTAAAAATAGCATACAATAAAATATACTTTAAAAAAAATATATAGTGATATAAAAAATTGTATATTAAAAGAATGGAGTCTGTGAAAAAAATTTTCCCTCTTAAAACGTAAACTTACATAACATTAAAACCCCATGCCTAGTATGGTACTCTCGTGCTACCAAAACAGCTCTGATGCATCGAGGCATGGACTCCACAAGACCTCTGAACGTGTCCTGTGGTATTTGGCACCAAGACATTAGCAGCAGATCCTTTAAGTCCAGCAAGTTGCGAGGTGGGGCCTCCATGGATTGGGATTGGTTGTTCCAGCACACCCCACAGATGTTCAATCGGATTGAGATCAGGGGAATTTGGAGGCCAAGGCAGCAACTTGAACTCTTTGTCATGTTCCTCAAACCATCCCTGAACAATGTTTGCAGTTTGGCAGGGTGCATTATACTGCCGTCAGGGAACACCATAGCCATGAAGGGGTGTAGGTCCTCTGCAACAATCTCTAGGCAGGTGGTACATGTCAAAGCAACATCCACATTAATGCTGGGACCCATGGTTTCATACATGTTACATATATGCAAACATTGCAAATGAAGCCGAGCATTATAAACACTATTTCATGTCTCCTCTTCTCTGTATGATCTCTCTATGCTGACGGTCCGGTGCTAATGACAGAGCTTGTAAACATGACTGACAGGAAGCTAAGATGGAGGCGCCCAGTTGCAGGATAAAGAGTTGTCGATTTCTGCATTTTAATCTTATCGTCACACATCATAAACACATATTTCTGTAAAAATATGTGATTAGTAAGCACAATATTAAAAATCCTGATGATAGCCTCCATTAAAATACATAATTACTATAATATAATCAAGTAACAGCACTATCACGTAAGATACGTTTTATATCCCAAATTTAAATTTAAAAATGTAATAGTATAAATATCGGAGATAAGCCCTGGCTGATCTAAATGGACATGGAAATGATGTGGCAAATTCAGGTTCCAGATTCTCACAGCAGAGCCAACTTAAATTGTGTTTAATACATGGAAACCAATCAAACCCTAATTTACAAACATTAACAAAAAATTAAATGAAGATTGTATTTTAGTAAATGGATTGATTTTCCATGGAGCGTGTCTGTTGACAGCATCTATTTATTTAGGAGAATAGAATTTGTTCTTAGTCCTTTTGCCTTAACTGCGTAAAGTTTTATCAAAGCAAGTGATGCTATATAGATAGTGAACACTGAGTTTCTTATTGAATAAAACAATAACTCTTTGAGGTTTCCAGTGGTTGTTAATGTTATAAACATTCAAATCGCAAGAAAAAGTTCCCTTTTTAGTATTAGTTACTAGTGATGTCCCGAACGCTTTGCCGAACGGTTCGCCACGGATGACGAACATATGCGCTGTTCGGTCCGCCCCCTATTCGTCATCATTGAGTAAACTTTGACCCTGTACCTCACAGTCAGCAGACACATTCCAGCCAATCAGCAGCAGACCCTCCCTCCCAGACCCTCCCACCTCCTGGACAGCTCACTAAGAATGCAGCTTCACAATGAATGTAAAATGGATGCTGTCCACGAGGTGGGAGGGTCTGGGAGGGAGGGTCTGCTGCTGATTGGCTGGAATGTGTCTGCTGACTGTGAGGTACAGGGTCAAAGTTTACTCAATGATGACATAGGGGCGGATCGAACAGCGCATATGTTCGCCGTCCGTGGCGAACCGTTCGGCGAACCGTTCGGGACATCACTATTAGTTACCTTTAAATGCCTTGTCTGTGGCAGGCAGGCAGGCAGGCTGCAATACAAAATACAGAAAAGAAACTTAAAAGTATGGACCTCATAGGAATCCTATATAATCATTAACTCTTTACAATTAGAATAAATAGTTTACAATTTGTTGGTAAAGAGGTGACTATACTACATACACGAATAGACATTATTCTTACATATTGTGAATTTGCTGATATACAGCACAATTGTTTTCTAGGATTGTTTTTTTAGTAATTTAGTGTTAGATTCTATTAGATGAGGTAACATTATGAGAATACTATTATTATTTAATTACAGGCGATAAGCTTCTCTCATCTCGTAGAATCTAGCATTTTTTTATGCATTAATAGGTACATCCATTGCCTGTTGCATGATGGTAGTGATACAATTCATCTAACATTAAAGGTTAGATTCTTATAAGAGAGATGCATATCTCTTGTAATTAAATAGCCGTTTTCCCCTAAAAAGTCAATGGAAGGAACTGCTGTTCAGTCAGCACACTATATTTCATCTCTTGCATTATAATCCAACTCTAAGAGTTCGATTCTATAATAGTAAATAAGCTTATATCTTGTAACTGAGGAGCATGTTTGTAAAAATTAAAGGGGGACCTGCTATTGAGTTAGGTTTTCCTCTAATAAAATCCGTCCCAAAGTGTCTTCCATGTATTTGGGGGGCTCCTCACTTCATTTTGATTTACCCTTTATGTCTGCACAATTTCTGCGATTATCGTCACATTTTGAACATAATGTAGCAGGAATGTGGAACTGCACCCATTTGAAATGTATCCGGGTGCACCAGACCAGCCCCAGTACCAGGAACCAAGTATTTGATGACGAAAACTAGAAGAGAAGTCCAGGCACTGTCAGGATACAAAAAGGCAAATTTATTGAACCCACTGCAACGGTTCGACCTACACGGTTTTTGTAGGTTGAAACGTTGCCGTGGGTTCAATAAATTTGCCTTTTTGAATCCTGATAGTGCCTGGACTTCTCTTCTATTCTTCATTATTGTCACATTATCACAATGAGCTTCTGATCATGTCCGGCCATTGCTTTGCAGTTATACTCACTGGAATTAAATCAGATCAGTCATTTTTTGGGGATCTTTGCATATTTTGCAAAGACCCCCAAAAGTGAACTCTTCAGCGATAGTCTGGTGGCCACGGGGTGCAAGGAAAGATAGTTGCACTTAACTGAAGCTGCCCTTGTGGCCACCACCATCTTTGCTCTGGGCATCCTCTTCAGCTACTCCGCCAGTGTTGAGAGAGTATATCATTGAGGTATATGAGGAGACAGCAAGAGCCACCATAGATTAATGTCTGAATCCAACAGCCGTCAATTGTGACGGCTACTGGGATTGGACACAAATTCATGGCAGTGTCCGCCTTTTGTCAACCTCAGATTTATTAAACGCCAAAATAGCCCATACTCTCTCTTATGGTATCTTTGGAATGTCTGTGAAATTCCATCATTGTCAGGATCCGTGTTGCATAAATATGGTATCCAAATGAAATACTAACAAAAAAGGTCAGAGCGGCTTTAAAGTCCCTAGTAGCTAGTCAAGGGTTAACATATAAACATATGGAGTCCTGAATTTC